CCATAATTGATCGTTATATAGCTTTTCCGAGAAATGTTGAGCCTTTGCTTAAGCTTGCTGATATAGCAGGACTGGCTATAAAGGAAAATCCAATCGAGCGTCCTACAATGTCAGATATTGCATCTTGGTTGGAGCACATTGTGAAAGATGGTTTGACCTTGTAATTTCTGAACCAGGTCGCCGGCAATTAATCAAAGATCAATTGAACAAAGATTGTTACACTTGTTTCAGTAAGTACTGCTCTAATCTTCCTGAACTGTACATCTATTTATGAGCTGCTTGTAAGTGAAGTGATTAATCTTCTTTCTTCGTTTCTGATTATTTCTCTTAATCCACACAAAGTGAAGGGAACACTACTTTTGTACTTTTAGTTTTCCACATGAAACATGATTTAATAATTTGCCTTCTCAAGTAAAACATTGGAGAGCCATAAAGACCCCATTTCCCATCGTTGGGTTTTGTATTAAAATCTCACATTTCTTTCGTGTGTTTTATCAAGACGATAGCAATGTTCTGATTTAAATTTGTTAACTATCGTCATCATTGTACTTTGATGTTTTCGTTCATATTATTCATTGATTGCACAATATGTAGTAATTAAACCAGATGTAGTTACTAAAATCAAGCAATGTCAGCTCCATGGGTTCTACTTATGATACACTCGCACAAAAGATTTCTCTGATTTGAGGAGTATTGAGTCATTCGCTGCATTATCTATTATCTCTTTCAACCGCAATATTACGATCATCTGATATCTGTACAAAAGTTTTTTACCAGGATACCTTGTGCAACTCAGAAATGTGAAAACTACAGCATCTTCTGAACTGAAGCACTCATACGACGAAGGGTTTCGGAAGAGAAAAACAACCTTATCTTTGTGATGCACAAAAGAATGAAAGATCTCAGAAAACTTATGGGAAAAGATTTGCAACCTCATCTGTCACTTTTGCATTGCAGCTTCTCTCAAAGCCCATCAGTGGCTGTGCAAACCATAACCAAGTTGAAAAAAAAAAATAGAAGAGGTAAGTGGCTTTCAGATGGATAGTGCTTTGTTGACGAGATGAGCTTGTTTTGTGCAATTTGCCAACTCAAAAGCTTGGCATTTGACTTGATTGGTTCCTGAGCTGAGAAAATAGTGGGGAAAAAAGACACCTCCACTACTAGTTAAGTAGTGCTTCACAGTTCTCACTTCTCATACTCTAAAAGGGCATGTTCTAGTGACTTGAGGCTCTATCTTGGCTTCGGAATTGGGGGGCCATCAAGGGGTAATACTAGATAGACCAAATTTTAAAATCAAATTTGCAAACCAAATGACATGTCACCAATAAAAAATAAGCACGTTAATCAACACTTAAGTAATACTCCACATTATTTGGTTTATAAAATTTGGTCTATCTAGCATTACCCGATCATCAAGTGAGGTTAGGAAGGTAGTGTCACGTCCCGATCCCAACATACGTCTAGAATCGACACGTGACGTCACCAAGTATCCGTATATCCAACAGAACCCGCCTTAGAGATATGTACAAAGCATAATTCAAGATTCGAATTGCATAGTAATATTCGTGTACTTTATGACTGCATCTAACCTCCTCGTTAGACTGCCTATGTACTCTAAAGAGGGATCAAGCCATTTGTAGTTCACCATTCACCACACTCCGACATTTATCACAGTACGTTCAAGCAAAAAAGCATAGCATTCATCAATCAATCATTTGGACTTGACAAGGATGAATTATTTGATTCAAGCTACATAACGAACCCACATGACAATCAAGGTTTCTATTTCCTCCATCATATAAATTACTATGTTTCAACATAAAATCTCAATTCATAGCATGTAATATATCAAAGAATCAACAAAGCACAATAGTATCCTCTAGTCACATTGATCAACTAATCTAATCGTATTAATAACAATCACATCCAACACCATTCCACAATCACCAAGTAACCAATTCCATGAATCAAGGAGGCATGATATTAACATTTAATTATGTTAATCAGTAAACAAGATCACATATCAATGCACGAAATTTAATAAAGGAATTCTACATAATTCCCTACCTGGATTCCAAGTAATAACATGATAATTCTAATTTATAAACATAACGTCTACTATGAGCAATTCCTACTTAGTTGAATCTAGGGTCGAACTAACTTCATGCAAATGAGCAAGTGTAAGGATTCCGGACCACTCAACGGAATCAAACCCGAAATATAATTGCCTATCGGAATGTACCAAGTACAACTAATCCTCATCACCCCTAGAATGCATATGGTCCCCCATCGCGGATATACCAAGCAGAACCATAGACATAATCTCATCGTGTAAGCAGTGATCACCCATCGCGGATATATCAAGCATGATCACCCCTTAATACGCATGGTCCCTCAACGCGAATATACCAAGCATGATCACTCCTAGAATGCATATGGTCCCCCAACGCGGATACACCAAGCATAACCACAGCATAATCTCATCGTGCAGGTAGTGATCACCCAACGCAGATATACCAAGCATGATCACCCCTGAAATACACATGGTCCCCCAACGCAGATATACCAAGCAGGACCATCCATGTCCCACTGCTATATAGTGCAATAAATTCAACACACAACCTACCCACAACTCAACCCATATGAGTTACAACATAGTCACCTACACCATCAATTTCTTATGGCCACCAACTAATATGTCACACAAGCATATAAGTTCTACCGAATACATCTAATAGGATTTTAGGATCACATTCTCATAACATTTATCATACTTATCATTCACATTATTAAGAAGATAACTAAACACATATATATCACAATATGACATCCCATACACGTAAATCAATTTATAAATCATCTGGGATAACCACTAACCCATATAGGCCCACTAAGCCCTGCATAGTCTCTAGTAATACAAATTTTAATATTTAAGATCATTTCATAGCCGATTGACCAAAAGTCAAGTCTTTGTCAAAGGTGGGGTCCACACCTTATACAAGTCAATCTGGAACATCCACCCATGGATTTCCAATCCGTAGCTTCCCAAGGTTTCTCATTAATCTTCGAGAACAATATTCTAAAAGTTCAGAACTATCCAACGGTTGGATCTCCGCCAATTGCTAGAATTAGGTTGCTATCAACGTTTGATTTTACAAACTTAGAAATTCAACTTGGGAAGATCCGTACGTCGGATTCCCAATCCATCAGTTCCTATCATCCTCAAATATTACGTACTATAATGTATTAAGGTTTAGTGACTATCCAACAGTCAGATCGTCAAATCATAAAATGGTCAGATGGCCTAATATTCCATACTAGGTTCAAACTATCGAACTACACTAAACGGTTATCAAATTTGAAATCAAAACATCAAATTTAACTTAAAAAGGCAGTATTGGTCCATTGGTCACGTGCCGCCGCGAGTGGCAGTTTTCGACGAACAGAAACCTAATTTTCGGACTAACTCTAAAAATTACCAAATTTTACAGAAATGTAGAACAAGTCAAGGGGAACAATTTTAATATCTGGGCTGAGGCCCTGTTCGACCGTGAAGTCGCCTGAATTCAATTTGATCCGCCGGAAACCCTAAAAAGGGTGTACTTCGATTCAACACCAAAACGACCTCCAACGCCCCGATCTTGGCTTGGGTTTTGTTCCTGGTCTCAAGAGGGTTTGAATGATGGTGGTGGTTGACGGTGGTGGCTTAAAAAATAGCGGATTGTTGCCGTGGGTGCCTTCGAAGCCGTCGGCTTTGATCTTCACGAAACCAAGGCCAAAGACCCTCGGATTTTTGGTGGAAAAGAGAGAATAGAGGTCAAGGTTGTGAATGCAGGTAAGGGTTGGGTAGAATTCATCGGAAAAACCAACGAAAATCACCGAAATTGGCTATCCAGAACCGGGTCTGCAATCAGGTCAACAAAACGGGTCGTTTGGGATCCGGGTTAGCTGCTGCTCCTCTTCTCTCCTTTCCCTCGTTTTTCTAACTCATCTCTCATTTTCCCCCCTCTCTTGCTACCACCTGGCAGCTTCTAATCAATTTTTTTTATTTTTTTCAACAACTAAAACGTCTCTAATTTATTGTTTCAACTCCGATTCGTGAACGGTTTACGCCTACGAGCTCGTAGAATCGAACTCTATCCAATTATACTTAATGTGACCCAGTAAAGTCCACGAATTTTAATGATTACTTACCAAAATTCAAACTTCCTGATTAGTTCAATTAAAAAATCTAAATTCAAATATATTAATATAAATTCTCAAAAAATAATATAAAATCTCAATAATACAAATACGTAAATTATAACAGTGAAATTCAAGAACGAGATTTCACAGGTAGAGCTAGTTCGGATGCCGACACCTATCGCCGCTCCACTTTTTGGTCGGTTTAGATGGGCGGCACATGATTTTCGCTTGAATTTTAGATTGATCACTTACATTAACGACTGGATAAGAGAATTTCTATGTTAGAGCTCATTTACTGTGCCAACAGTACAACTTTTGCTAAGCTTGGTCGGCCAACACATGTTTCTCGCTTAGATTTTAGTTAAATCTCACATTAATGTTCGGATAAGAGAAATTATATATGGCATACATATAATAAGACTTCTGAAAACCATTTATTCAAGTAAATAATGGGGTGTTACTTTACAGGGAATGATTTTTGTACACAATTTTTCACATTTTACACACCATCTTATCATTGGATTAAGCAAACAAATGAGAATCAATGGTCAGCGTACAAAGGTAAAAAAAGGTGTGCATAAATCACTTGTGAAGTTAATTCTTTTTTTCTACAACGATTTATTTACACCTGAAATGAGGGAATAGATTTACCCTTTTCTATATTTAAACTTTTGCCTGGGGTGAAAATTTCTATATTTAACTTGAAATTCTTATTGGTTAAATTTACTGTTATAATGTATTTTGCCTCAAGTTGGACATGCTTCATTAGTTACCACTGTCTCTGCTGCAGTTTATTTAACTTTAGACACTGTAAATAACAGAAAAAAGCTCAACGTCTATGCTGGTTTTTCACATTAATTTACTGGGAGGTAACTATGTACACTTTTTTTGCAAAAGTACTATCAACAACAGCAAGAAGCAGAGAAAAACTATCCCCAAAATCCCAAAAACAATTAAACAATGTAAACCCCAGAGAGAAAAAAATTGGTTGTCTGAGTATCATATACTCAAAAGACATCCAACAAAAATCAATGGCTCTGCAGGCTTCACTGACATGGTTATAAGGGCAGCACATAGTCCTCAGATTTACAATGGTTTTATGTGCTGCTAGCTGTGGAGGCCTTGGAGAAAGTGCTCTGATCACTTGAGTTCTCTTGCCTCATTTTGATATCCATGAAATCCGAAACATGCCCGGGTTGTGAAATATGAGAGTCTTTGAGGACTTCATCTCCGGACAACATCTCAACCGCCTTTGACATCCGTGGCCGTTGGTTGGCCCTTTCTTGCACGCAAAGAAGTCCTACCTTCAAGAACTGAATGGCTTCATCCGTAGGAAAGTTCATCTGAAGTGTAGGATCAACTAGTTGTGCAAGGTTTCCAGCCTTGTGCGCTTCCCATACCTGCAATTTCACAAACAACATTGCTTCAGTTCTGAAGTTTAAATTGAAAGCGTGTCCAAGGCTACTAACTAGCTGTTTTGCTTTGCTTCAGTCTAACATTGACTGTTTCTGAGGAAGTAGTCTCGCCTAATCCTCTTATATTTATATCAGAAAAATATGTCCAACTATGCCCGCAGTAAATAGATGCTCTAATTTAATTTGTTTACCTTCTGAACCAGGTACTGCTCCCCAAGTTGCAAGTCAAAATCCACAACTGCTCGGCCGCTGACAATTTCCAACAACAGCACTCCGAAGCTATAGGTATCTGATTTTCGCGTCAAACGCCCACTAATAGCGTATTCTGGAGCAAGATAGCCTCTTTTGGATTATCGCGAGACACCCCATTAGCAATGCAGTAGCATTTCAAAGAGTAATCCAATCACAATGCAAGCATATTCAGTGATTCAAAAACAACTTACATTGTCCCGGCTACACGAGTACTAATGTGAGTATGGTTGTCCCACAACAGCTTCGATAAACCAAAATCACCAACTTTCGGTGTCAAATTCTCATCAAGAAGAATGTTGCTGGATTTAATGTCTCTATGCAGAATGTGAGGATCAACTTCCTCATGCAGATAGGCGAGTCCTCGAGCTACTCCTATTGAATTACCCCGCCTTGCCTCCCAACTAAATCTCATCCTGTTTTGCTCTCCACCTATTAATCAATATCACATTCTTCATTACTTAAGAATTTCAATAACAATCCAGCAAAAATGTGGATTATTCAGTTAGAAATTGAAGAACTAGAAGCAGATGAATGATTATTTACCAAGTAAAGTGTGTGTGAGGCTATTGTTTTTCATGTAATCATAGACCAAATATCTTGCAGCTCCATCAACACAACACCCTTGAAGCCTAACAAGATTCTCATGTCTGATTACAGACAGAGCAGCTAATTCGGTGATGAATGCCCTCTCTCCTCTCATCGATTCGAGTTCAACGGAAAGCACTTTCACAGCCACAAGGTTCCCATCTCTAAGCTGACCCTTTAGAACTCAATCACAATTAACCCTATATCAGCAAACACAATATATATTACACACACACACACAACACACACACATGCAATTGTATCAACAATATGCAGAATTTGATGTTGTAGGGTCAGAGAAAAACCTTATAAACAGAGCCAAAGCCGCCTTCTCCAAGCTTGTTGGAGGAATGGAAACCATTGGTGGCAGACTTCAATTCCTTGCAGGAGAAAATTCTCAAGTTGTCTGGAATTTGACCATCTGGGTAATATAAAAAAGTACAAAAAAAAAAAAAAAAAGCAATTAAGACCACAGTAAATCGCTGCAAAACCCAAGAACAACAAACCCTAATAATACCTCGCATCCTTCTTTGAATGGCCTTTGTGGGTGAGGAGACGAAGCAATCTTTGCAAGGAAGTGGGAACTTCATGTTCCAGCAGCTGGATGCACTCTTTTTTTGTTTGTTGGGTTTTTGCTATTGAATGTGCTTAATCTTAAGCCTTGGTGATAATTACAATGGATTAAAGAGAGAGCACCCCATGAAAGAAGAAGCTTTGGAGGAAGAAAATAAATGGAGACGCAACAATATATTATTGCCGGCGGCCTTTGACCTGATTTTGGCTGCCGACTTCAAAGTTTGAGCTTTTACATTTGAATATTTTCTTGTTTTACACTTTGCAACTTACTCAATTATATATTGAACCACCACACCAATGCTTGAGATGAATTTCAAATCCGTATTTCACACGGTATGTGTTGAGTTCGATTCTTGATTTTAGTGAATCGCACAATGGTGGTTTGAGAAAGATGGAGAGACTCACAGTATCAGGAACGATGGACTACAGTGACGAAACCACTAGCTGGTCCACTGTTTAAAAAAAAAAAAAAAAAAAAAAAAATATATATATATATATATATATATAGTTGAAGTTAATTTGCTTGCATGGGTTAAACGCGGCAACAAGTCATGTTTTAACTTGTTCGCATTGTGTGTAGGTTATTTTAAGTTTGAACTCGACTTATTAGCTTATTGTGCCGAATATTGCGTATCAAATTATGTTCACCCGTCAACAAATTACGAATAAATTACTTGATTATATCAAATCTCTAGTAATTAATAAAACACTTATTGTCAACTAAAATTTTATAAAATTATCAGTTTAACTCTCTAATTAAAACAGAACATGAATAAGAAATTTAGGGCAGAAATGTAATTTCACACAACCAAATTTTAGTGTAAAAAACTTCTCACTCCCACATTCTTTATCACTCTCTTCCTCTCTCCTTCTATTTCAAAATAAAAAATAAAAAATTTCCTCACACACTTTGTGTGTGCTCATATGCTACTAATAACATAAAGAAAACACCTTGTGACACCAAAAAACTTAGGTCATACACATACGCAACAAATGTTTAAACAAAATACCAAAAGTCGTACACAAATAAATAAGTTATAAGTTTAAAGTTAATATTAGCAAAGTAAACAAAAACATACTTCACAAAGTTACCGTGTTAGTAGTTTAGTACTGTGTTTTTTGAAAAAAACATTGATTGTACCATTTTCTGTATGTGACGAACCATTTTGAACCCGTCCAGATATGGCTTGACTCGAACACTTAAATTTTCACACTTGTTCGTATCATGTTGTTTTGTACAATTTTAATCTAATATTTATCATGGGTTAGAAAGCAAAAGGTATTATTAGTTTGATCAAACAAAAATTTTCCTTTCATTCATTTTAATGTTTTATGGATGCCGTTACAAATTAATTCATCAATATATATATATATATATATATATATATATAGGAAATCTTTAAGAAAAGGGATCTTCGTTTTTTTTAATAAAAATGGGAATTAGTTGTGGGGTCCACACTATATCGAATTTTAACGATTTGAACCGTCTATTTTTCAAGTTGCACCTCATAAATCATCCTTGCAAAATATTAGGCAAATTGAAAATATTTAAGATATCTAATTGAGTTCAAAGAAATTAACGAATACTTTGTTATATAAGAAACAATGAAATTTTATCTTGATAATTAAATAGGTAAATGATTTTGGATTGAATTGAATTTTTGCAAGGATGATCTATGAATCGAAACTTACAAAATAGACAGTTTAAATCGTTGAAATTCAATGTGGAGTGAGCCCCACACCTAATCCCCATTTTTTAAAAACAAATGAGAATCTCTTTGCTTAAAAGGCCTATATATATATAATTTTTTTTTAACAAACAATATTATCTATTTTAGGGGAGAAATGAGTGATAGGTTAGGTGATCATGCAGCTTGGGCCACCTGGCGATCAATACTTACCACAAATGATCAAATCGTTAATTAAGAGAAAAAAGTTCACTTAACGTGAATTTGTGATTAATTAAGAAAATTAAAAAGTAGGGCGCACTCATACGTATAATGGGCTTATTGTCGCGGCAACGAGAGATTTTTCAGTGTGACCGTCACATAAGGTGATACACCACGTGTTTCTATATACATGGTGGGTTATGTGTGTTAAAGGATTAATAACTTAAAAATTAAAATTTTCTACCACTTGCATAAAAACACGTGGTGTACCATCCGTATTCCCGTCACAACTAAAATTTTCTCTGCGGCAACAGAAGGTCATGGCGCCATGTGGCGAGTCTATCAATTTAATATGACAAAAACACCCTTGGTGTTGTGTTTAGACATTTGAATGAATCAAAGTTTGAAAACGAGGATTGGAGGGTGGAGGATCCTAGTGCATAGTCGTCAGTACTCATTAGCAGTCCAAAAGGTATATGTCTGGGAGTTGTGACCAGTCTAGTTGATTTGGATCCTCTCGTGAGCAAAGAGTTTGAAACCTGCTGACCAAACAATACGGATCGTTGGATCAAAATCCAAAGGCTACAAACAGAATGGGTTATTCTAAAAGTTATAATAATTATAGCCGTTGAATCTTGATCCAACGGTCCATGTTGTTTGGTCAGTAGGATTCGGACCCTCTGCTCAGCAGAGGATCCAAATCCCAGTCTACTAGTCTGATCTTTATATAAAATATTCTAACATACGCGCGTGGTGTCCTGGTGTAGGACAAAATCCTAATTCCTATACTACACACGGTGGATTAATTGGATTTTCCTTTTTTGTCAAATAGATGGATTTTATTAAATTCTAGTCAAAATGTTTACATCCACAGCAAAAATACTAAACAGAAAAGGAGTACCAATACAATCCCACTCCAACGAGCCCCCTCCTTAAGAACAAACGTTGTCACGGAGGGTGGTTCTCTATTCTCTTCTCTCAACGAGAACACAAACTCCACAGACCGGACACTCTCAGTCAATATCCAAATATCATGAACCAAGCCTTCCACCGTTGCATCAGGTTTCATCTCCTAGTTCAACTCATGACTCATGATCTTCCAACATCCACAGCAACGCAGAATTGTTAGTATTTCTTGAATTTTTTTTTATAACAAAGAACCATGGAAATTTCGAATTGAACAATTCTAACTAGTGGGACAGAGGAACAATTCTAACCCTAATCAATATGGAACTTGTTTGAAATGAAATTAATAAAAAAGTTGACTAATGATTTACTTAATTTTGTTAGGTGCTTTAGGAATCAACGAATCTGAAACACCACCAAACCTTAAAGAAGCAAGTTTACTGTGTCAAGACTCCAACTACTCCCAAGGAAAGTTTAAGAAATTATATGTGGATACATAAATGGATATGGACGTCAGGTGGATTATCCCCTTTAATATATTTAAAATTATTGTTCTGAAAATCGGTGCTTGGTGGCTGGCCACCGCCCCGATTAATGTCTAAGCGTTTGAAAACTAAGAAGGGCCTCTAGACATACTGAGGCGCCCACCTAGACCGTTTAGCCCGTCCAAACTCACCTAGATCACGATTCACTTAAACAAAAAATAGATAACTTTCATTTTGCATTTTATTTTTTTAATAAATTGTATGTCACTTGTTGCATACTTAAATGAACATACATTATATCCTTGTTCCCCATGTTTATATTATGTTCTACTACTTCATAATATATATGTCATTCTATTTTGTAGTTTATGGTGATATTTTATATATTTTAAGTATAAGTAGATACTTATTTACACAAAATATAATAGATTTATTTAAATCCGCCTAGTCCGCCTAGGCGCTAGACCCCAACCCCCTGTCCGACTAGTGTCTAGCTTCTTTTAGAATCTTGTTGAAAATTGCACTCTGTGCGTTTTAGGTGAAATTAGGTGCCTATATGTAACATGCTGTGTCACAGCCCGTCCCGAAATTTCATTTATCGTGGATGTGAAATGACGGAATTGCCCTTAAAGGTTGCTATGATATGTGTGACATGTTTATTTGAATATTTCATACTCTCCTAAGTTCTTGGAAAATAAAGTAAGTGGATTAAAATTGTATACATTTTTGTGTGGTTAGGGACTTAAAGAAAATTGGATTGTGGTTTGTTTTGGGTGGAGCACACACACACGGGACACATACCCTCACCCCGTGCCCTCTCTCTCCTCCCTCTCAGTTCACTCTCTCTCCCTCCCTTTTGAACTTGTACGGACAAGAGCAAAACCCCTCAAAACTTTACCGATCGACGTAAAAAATGTGAGTTCCTTCATCCTTGCAACCTTCTGAATCGATTGGTATTATTTTTAGAACTGGAAACCCTCAAAATCACTTCGAAACCGTAACCCAGTTTGAAATCACTGTTCATGCACACGTGAAATGTTGGTTTTCAGGGAATTCTAAGCTTGCAGGGAGCTTAGTGAGGTCCCAAGGAAGCTCGGAGTACTTAGTTTGAAGGTTTTGGACGTCGGGATCGTAGGGTTCAAAGTTGGCCGGTTTTCTTGGATTTTCTCCGGTGAGATTTCGTGTGTGTTTTTAGCCTTAAATTAGTACATTGTGATTCTTCATGTTTAGGGCTTCACTTTGGTGAAAATTTCATGAAAAATGGCGCAAAATCGAGCGAGAAAAGGGCGAATGCAAGTCTGCCCAGTTTTCCGGTGTTTCGAGGTAGGGGATGACGCGCGTGGGGGCGTGTAGGTCTGTGCCTTTCCCGGCGCGTGGGGGCGCATGCAGCATTGAAATTTTTTTCTAAAAATACCTCGACGTCCGTGACGTCAAGTAAGTCTCTGTGGTATATTCATATACCCAAATTGAGCATCGTATGAGAAGTTATTACGTATTGTTGGTTGTGTGCTTTAAAATAACGTTTTTATAGTTGTTTCGCATATAAGTGAGACCTATCACGAGGACGAGCACATTCAAGGGCGTCACGGGGGTTACGACCCTTCGACTTACTAGTGAATGGGCAGTTATATTCTGTTTATACCTATATACTACTGATTTTTCCCTGAAATTGAATTTAAATGGAAGTAGGTTTTAAAATGCCATGCATACATAATATATGAATTATATGAATTAGTATTTGATGCATATGTATGAAATGGTGCTGTGGACGCACATGTGAGTATCAGGTGAGTTTTATGTGTTCATGTGAATTATTAATGATATGAATTGTGTTGAGAGCTCATAACCTGCACCTCTGGTGTTAGTGCTTATATTATTCACCCTGCACCACACGCTCACCTTGGATCCAAATAGGTGCACGTCGAACAAACCATTGGAGGTGGTTCCAA